ACACACACACACACACACACACCGACATACACACACACAAACACACATACACACACACACACACACACACACACACACACACTTACATACACTGAGGAGCCTCGGCCCTCTACTCTCCATATCTAAGATTACATGTAAAGTGGTTACATAGGGCGTCGTATCCGTGACGAAGACCGATTGTGAGTCAAATAATAATTACGTGACATATCGTTGTGGAGGGGTATACCCCGGAAAAGGCTTCGCTTGGAAAGAGCTGAGAACAACGGCTGTCAAACCAGATCAATTTGGTGATCTTTACCCCGTATTCGCAATTCGTTACATCAGTTGCTTTGTTTGGAATGGAAACAAGACCAAATGTTTACGTTTGTTATATTTCGGGAGAACTTCGTCATCTACATACACGGATACAAGACAAAACAGACATGGCTTTCTTCTCAAAGAGAGGATTTAATAAAGTTATCGCGGAGTCATGCACTGGAAAGTGAGCGCTGTTAGTATAAACCAAAAACAAAGTATGGAAGTTTCTAGCTTGTTTGATTGTTTTCCATCACCTCGACACGAAGGTTGAAATACTTAATTGGTGTTAAAAATATGACTCAAACAAGGAGCGATTAAAACAACATTTGAAAGGCTGGGTGAATTCCCACGAACATCTTCAGAGATGTATAGGCTTATTTGTCCCGCTCATTAACTCATTTCAGAGAGAAAAAACGGCTGAAGCCTTGACGTTCGCACAGGAGAATAAATAAAACGTTGTGTCATGAAGGATATCCGGTTACGTATAAACATGTCTACTGGAAAAAGTTTTCGGTATATTATTATTAACGATATCAATGGAATATTTTCAAGATAGCGTTCACCGATAGAATCTCTATAGTGTTTTGATATTTCAGTTTTGTCCCGCTGTCACGCAAGATAGCCAGCAGAATTCGCTGTTTCCTCTTACCTGTGATTTCTTCAGGGAATTCCAAGCTTTCCAGAAAACTGCAAATATTCTTCCAACCTACCAACTGCCGTTTCTTCCTGTGGGGTTGAAATATTGGCACAGCAATGTTTCTTCCTGATAGAACCGACAGCAATTTCGCTGCTATTCCGCTGTCTTGGAGACCAATCACGTCTTCTATCGACACACCGACTGCCTCCAAATGAATGTTGGCCCATTTCGCAAGAGTTCGTCTTCTGATGACCCGCCTGTACCCATTCACTTGTGGTTTAGAATTACTCCAACCGTTTGCCATCTCGATGACTTGCGCTGTCATGTTCTCCGATCACCATGAATCCGGCTAGGTCTCTTAGAAGGTGCAGACAGAAAATGTTCGTCGTGGACTAAACCTGTTTCGCGCGTGTAGGGACAAAGTTCGGTCTTTTTCCATCTTTTGAATATCTTAAGTAATGTAAAAACAAAAAGAAATACTAAGTATAAACTTTCCAAGAGTTTAGTGTCAATCAACCTCGTAAACTTTCCACGTCAAAGGTAAAAAGAAATTCCTTTTCATTGAATATTAACTCAGATGTGTTTTCCTTATTAATTCTTGGTTAATTTTTTTCGGAAATTTCTTTTACCAGTGCGTTCTACAGTTAATTATTTATTTATCTATTTATTTCTCATAACCTCCGAACATTTTTATTATGACAACACATTACACTGCAGAATGAAAGCGTATTAGAGTCCCCAAAGTTATTCTCAGGTTCAAATATCCATAGTTTAGAAAGTTTTATTCAGACCGTCCAACAAGTATATGTATTTGAAGAGTGTGATCGAAAGAAGGTAACGAAGGTTATAAAAATACAACCTTGTTTGCCGAATTATGCACATAAAAGTTTATTACGAATATCAACACATCTTAAGGACAGTCCACTATAGCTATAAGAATGTTGGACTGCAACTTCAATTCTGGACTTTTGATCAAGAACTGCTTACTGAAAAAAGGTTTCGCCCAGATTTCAGTTTTGATCCTTCTAGGCCAATTTGTTACATAAAGAGGTAATTTGTGCTGTCTTTTGTCGGTGTTTACCAGCGTTCAGAAATATATCAACATGCGAGGCAAACGAGCGTCGTTTTGGAGATCTAGCGACTCAGCGGTGTTACAGCATTCGGGTATCTCTGGAGAGACGATAATTTATCCTTCGCTAGAGCCTTGGCGATGCAGTTTTTTTTCGGAAATGATTAATCACCTAAGTCTTTTGATGAGTCTGGTTTCTGTTTTACTTGTTTGTTCAAACTCCCTGCTTCCCTAAATTGAAACAGAAACTCTTGTCGTAAAGTCAAGGAGAAGCGAGATTGTTTGATTCCCAGTTGTGCACCGGAACAGGTTTTGCTTCGAAGATTATTTCAAAGAAGCATAAGTTTATACATACCTAGTCCGCGGCGTTAACTTCTCTCACCTCTGTTTGTTCTTTAGCGTCTTCGTGAATTTCTATTTACTTAGATGAAGCTTGTTAAAAATCCCTTCAGCCTTTTGTAACCGAGGTAACTAAACTATTGTTTGCTAACGTGATTACTTGCGAATGTCGTGACTTGAACACTGTACATTTGCCAAGCTTTGTTCTCCTAAATAACTGCATTAAGGTTCACCTATTATGGTTTAATCATTTTTTCCTCTTCTTTGTCCAGTTGTAATTATCTGCTGGCGTCCATTTAGCAGTTTGTTTGTTTCTGGAACTGCTATTTCAGATCGCTCTTTGAGGGTCCCCTATACCCCTTTGTAAAACTCAGTGACGTAAAAATATAAGGCCTTTTCACACATTACGAATAAAATCCAATTTTTTTTTCATGTTCACGCGAAATTTGAGACGATCACGCTTCAGATGAAAGTAAAAAAACAAATTTACGACTTATCGATCCATATGAAGTCCATGTCCTGTCAAAATCCTGGTCAAAACATAACTACAGCCGTTCGAGAACAATACGTAAATTTTCAGAACTATTGAATAGCCAGGAATTCAGCACGCAAAACAGAATTGGTTCACGAATCACGTTTACTTCAGCTCTTCATTCACGAGTCACGTTTAAGTAAAAAAATTTGGTTCACGAATCACGTTTACTTCAGCTCTTCATTCACGAGTCACGTTTAAGTAAAAAGATTTGGTTCACATGGACATGAAAAGATTTTATCATCTTTAACCTCGATTCTCGAATAAAGAAGTGTGATTCGCTTTAAGCCTTTCTTTGAAAGAACAAAAGTCAGAACCAAACTTAAGGTAGCTTTAAGACATTGAATGAATAAATGAATAGATAGATAAAATAGGATAAGACAAGATAACAGAAAACTTGCAAGAATTTCAATGTAAAATACGAGTTTCTTCCACGACTGCTACCTGCTGCTAACCCTGAAGGTGCATGTATTTTTCAATCCCGGCTTGGCCTGAAGGCCGAAGGACTGAGTACTAGTGTGACCGAGCAGCTGACAAATCCGAGGACTGGTGCTCATCCCCAGTAGAGATTTGAGCGGCGGAGCCACGGAGCTATGGATTGCGAATGTTTCGTCATTGTCATGGCTTTTGCTGCTCCATTCCTCATTTTCAGTTGAGTCTCTGAACTGCCACAACACTGCCAACTACGCAAAACCTATGCGGGCAATGGGAAGCCAAGCTCGCATTTCCCCCTCGGGGCCTCTGTAATTTTCCTTTTTCTTTACAAGACCCCACAAGTTTGTATATTATCTTGTATAAATAAAGGTCATCTATCTGAACATTCTCAGAAACATCCATCTGTGGTGTGCTAGCAACCGAGACGTCATTCCCAGTTTCTATGCTCAACTTATTACCAGGGTTCGTACACTTTTGACCTGTTAAAAATCCATGACTTTTTCCATGACCCTTTGAAAGATTCTATGACCTGTTTGCAAACATTCTCACAATGCGTGCTTCTGTTTATTTCTAATGAAATGAAATCTGATTTTTGGACTCGTCAGTTAACTTTTCAACTTTGGGTCTTATTGCCTTTCACTCATAGAGAACATATTGATTTTCCATAACTTTCCATGACCCACACCTAAATTTCATGACTTTCCAGGCCTGGAAAATGAAATTTTGAAATTCCATGACTTTCCAGGTTTTTTACACGGACCTGTACCAACACTGCTTATAGCTTGCGACATTTATCCATGTCTTAATTACTGTCTCGTTGATGGCTTGATACCCTTTCTGCTTTTAATCTCGCAAGGTAGAAAAAACAGATTTCGATTTACGCAGAGTCGATCTCTATGCTTTTCTTTCCAACCCGGATAGAGCAAATTTTAAACATGGAGAGTTAAGGCAAATTATTTAAAAATCAAACTGCACAAGGACACGTAAGCTAGCATTTAAATGCATGCGCAGTAAGCAAATTAGGCATCGACGTGTCATCCGCGCGACTATGGAGACTGGAAACCATTTGTTACATGTCAGATGTCTCATATTTACAATTTACAACCGAAGAATGAACTCGCCGGTATTATTTATCTTATTTTCCACTTTCCTTTATTGTCCAGTTCTCTCCGAAGACTATTATGAATTATTAGGAATAGATAGAGACGCTAGTCATAAAGACATTCGGAAAGCGTTCAAAAAGCTAGCCCTAAAACTTCATCCTGACAAAAACAAGGTAAGCACGAAAGCTAAGATTCATTGTAATAATAGCATGTACTTCATAATTATCGAAATATTTTCATTCTAAAGGATGATCCAAAAGCACACGAAAAGTTTACAGTGATAAACAAGGCTTACGAAGTTTTAAAAGGTAGGCGACTTTGTCAACAGGGTATAAATACTTTTTTCACGGGTAAAGTGAAATTGCTCTGTTCTCTAATTTTAACAGCTGGATTTAATGATTTCCAGTGAAGCTTTTTTCTAATTCTAAAGAGCGCTTTAAAAGTTGTGATTTTTTTCAAGAAGACAATTGCATTTTTGGCTCAATATACCTAAAATTGATTATATAAAGCCCACTGTCTTTCACTGGATTTTAATTATTCTTTCCTAAGTTTATTTAACTCGTTGGTTTTTAATTAATTCGTTCTTGCAGCTAAAGAAACATAGTATTTAAATCCAGGCAGTGTTGTCGTGTAATTTGCTTTGGTTGGAATAAAATTGAATAACATGCCTTAAGTTCTTGAAACCGCCGTCTAAATTAAAGATTTCGCCCAAATTTGTAGAACATTGTTCACGAAAACAAGTCAATCATAGTTTCTAATCGTGAAACGATGGCCACTTTAGACTCCTAGACCACAAGAGATATGAAGGATATTACATGACCGTGTGTTACGAATTGTATCTTTTAAAGATACTGCAAGCTTGAGGAATATAATAAGTATGGGAAGATAACTTTACAAACACAAGCAGTCATCATTTATATTTATGGCAAACTTTAAGAACACCAATAATGTTGTTCATCTGAATTTAAGACTCAGCTCACAAAACTTATGTGTCGAACCGTATTTGGGAAAAAAATAAACCAAGCAGCTTTGCTTTAAAAGTCAAATATATTTTGCAGACAAAAATGTTGAAATTATTCAGTTTTAGTGATGTTGATATGGTAAAAAAAGCCAGGATGACTTTTTATCTGAAACAAAGGGGACAGTAAGAGTTATAGTACTGTAAGTAACTGAAGGAAACTGGATGCAGTAGAGCTGGGGTGGCATAGGACTGAGTGGAGTCCAATTTGGTCTGTAATCACATGAGTGAGAAACAAAATTGGACTACTGCAAACCAGGAGTTGAATTTGTTAATAATGAGTATGGTTACAGACAGAATTGGACAACATGACATCATGTTATTAATTAATCAAAACTGTGACAAAATTTGAGAAACAAACTAGCTATTAACTGTACATTTTCATACAAAAAACAATTTTCAGTTAACTGTGCAATGAGCTCAAGAACAGTGCACGCATATGGCACATATGTCCATTTACATAAGCATGATGAATATACCGTCCTATTAGTACTCAAATCGCCTTGGTGATAACCAGTCACATTTGAGAATTTTGTTATAGTTCTGATGAGAACTATAATGACATTAAACAATGTTCCTTAAAAGTGAATGATTATATAAATCTAGAAATTCTGAACTTCACGCTGTCTTTACTTATAGATGAAGAACTTCGTAAAAAGTATGATTTATATGGTGAGGATGGTTTGAAGGATGACCATTTTGGTGGAGGACATTATCAAAGCTGGAACTATTTTAATGAAGAATTTGGTGAGTTCACATCTCGTTGTTTCATCATCATCATCATCATCATCATCATCATCATCAGTCTTCTTCATGCTCTGTTGCTCATAAGGCCTTGATACTTCTCTTCCATCGGTCCCAGTCTCTTGCAATAATCCTCGCTTCTTCTCACGACTTCCAACCTGCCTCACTTCTTTCCTTTTCAATCGATCGCCTCCAGGTTGTTTTGGGCCTGCCCACCATCTCAATGTTTAAACTTACAAAAAAACCACTTTTAATTCCAAGTGGGAAAGGAAGTAATATATTGAGGGAAAATTGTAACTTCTTACGTACGAAGTTGTACTGGGGAATATTGGCCCAAGCTCATGGCAGTACAGACCAAGTAAAGTCTTTCCAAAAGAGACCAAGGGTCAACATTCCTCACCACAGTTTGAGCAAGCAAATTTGCTGGCTTTCTTGGACGTGGTTTATATATGGCCATTTCTATGGAAACTGTCTGTATTGGAAAATAATTTGGAAATATCAACAAAGTTGAAATGGTAAATTGGCCACCGCAACGATTACAAAAGCTGACGTTTCGAGTGTTAGCCCTTCGTCGTTCGCTCCGACGAAGTCAGCTTTGTCAGCAGCTATGTACAGATAATGAAGTTGGCTCTTGGCTAGGGTGGAGAAAATTAATGGAGTGATAATGATAATTTTTATCCTGGGCTTGTGCTGTCAAGGGAAGTGTTGTTCCATGTTACAAACTTTTTACTTGCTTTCAAGAGTCCGGCACTGACAACTGCCAATTCTGTTGAGCAGAATCCTTTTATTGTGGTTTACATGTCAGTGTTGTTCATCAGTGACCAGAATATGCACTTAATGTTTCTTTTCTGTATTTTTCTCTTTCAGGTATCTACGATGATGACGCAGAGATTATCACATTAAGCCATTCAGATTTCGGTAAGTTTAATAATACTAAACCATGATTGCCTTACCATAATTTTGTCCAACAGGTAGACAAAGAGTCTTTTTTCAGGCAGAGATTGCTTGTTCTGACTATGCTCTGTCATTTTCTAGTAAATATCTTTAGGTGATGCATCTGTAACTTATGTTTAATACCCACAGGTTTCCCTGACAGTCAGCTGGCACTCATAGTTAAGCCTTGTAGGAAGATTTTACACTTTTGCTTGAAAGTTTT